ACAAAAAATCACAAAGCCTCCTTACACGATTTCTTATTGTAATTGCCAACCTTCCCACATCTACTACAAGTAATTTGCCTTACTTTCTCACCATTTGACCGAATCCTCTTCTTATTTGGCCTTCTTGGTTGCTTCTTAGATAAAGGAGGAAGAACAACTTCACTATCACCATCAACATTACAATCTGGTTTCCAAATTGAAGGAACAGGATATATGGGAAAAGAATAAGACTCTCGATAACTTTGAACATAGAAGTATTGATCAACAAATAAACTCAAATCATGCCCACTCTTTTGTATAGCACCAACTGCATGTGCACATGGAAACCCTTTCAATTGCCACTCGCCACAAGAACATATTCGTCTACTAATGTCATCAACTGAAACAGATGGATGTGAATGCACCTCATAGACATCATTTCCAGATGAACTAGCAATCCATGGCCTCGAAGTATTAAAACCATCATGCAACTTGGACTCCATTTTAGGACATATCAAACCATTTCATTTATTAACAAGTTCCCTTATCTTAGCAATTTTCCTCATCAACTTAATTCTTACACTATCAATCAACTTTGTGATAGGCAAGTGGCGTTCCTCTCGTATCCACGAATTGAAAGATTCAGCTACATTTGACCACATCTCTCCAAAGCATTGCCCTCGAAAATATGCATTACTCCAATGATCATATGGTATGTCATCTAAAAACTTTTCAACTCTTAACCCATCTTCAGTCTTTAACGCAACCAAACATTTATGAAATGTTTCTTCAGTTGGAGCATATGCACATTTCCCAAACAGAGTGATCAGCTTTTCTTTCAATCCATGAAACATACCACGCAAATGATGCCTCAAGTTCATCTTTAAATGATATAAACAATAAGCATGGAAAGCCATTGGAAAAACCTTTGGCAACACTTCAACTAATCCAAGGTTACGATCTGACACAAATGTAATATTTTGTTCTAGTGAAACAATTCTACTCAAATGCTCGAAAAACCGACGCCAGTTATCTTGATTCTTTGAGCCAACAACTGCAAAACAAACAGGAAAGAACCCTGCGTGTACAAAACAGAAAAAATGAAAATATTCTATTATTCTTAGAAAATTGTAACACTTTAACATTCAAAATATCAAATACTAAAATGAATAATTGAAAAAATAAAAAATGCATATACAACAACAATATTATATAAAATTTAAAATATTTAATCATATTTCTAAACTGAGAACTTTCTCAATTTCATAACAGAGAAAACAGATTTCTTATGTACCTTGATTTCCATCTTTTCCTGTAGCAGCAAGTAAATTTCCTCTAAATCTTCCCTTCAAAAATGTGTCATCAAGGAATAAGAGAGGTTGACAATAATCAAATCCACTAATGGAACCATGAAAAGCAACAAATAATCTCTTAAACCGTTTAGTATCATCGTCACACTCAAACTCAATGTAACTCCCTGAATTGCAACTCTTTGCAACTTCCACATACCATCTTAACTGGTTAAATGACATTAAGTAGTCTCCGAAAATCTCACCTTTTGCTTTCTCTACCCCTAACCAAGCTTGACGATAACTAACTCTCAACCCATACCCCAACTTAAAATCCTGAACAACATGAACTGGACGTGTCAATGGATTATCACGAACACCTTCAACAATCAAATCAGCAACTAAATCAGAACTCATACGAGAGTGATTCATCGTACGCACTTCAGCACCACATGTGTGGACATTGTTCAACTTCCTTATATAAAAGAACCCGTTAGCATTCTCCACTCTACCATGAACATTCCACATACAACCTTTTGTCTCTCTAAACAAACATTGTGCGGTAACACGAAGTTTATCATTCTTAACAAATATGAACTCAAATCCACACTCAATAGAAAACTTCGACAATGCATTACGAAATTCAACAATTCTACCTTCAAATTTATGTCCTATATGTGTAATACTAACTGCCCAACCAGCAGACAATAGTACTTTTTTCTTGTGTCGACAAAATGATGATAACATATCAACCTCTTCTTCAACCTCCAACCTTGAATTCCTTTTGGAGGATGTAGATGCTCTGTTTAACAAGTTCACAGACTTACTGTTGTCATGAGACAATGCAATATCACAAACTTCAAGATCCAACATTGACTCTCTTTCTCCATAATACAATCTTTTGTTGAGATAACCACAGCCAATGGTTGAGTCTTTTACTCTCACAACAATATCAATACACTTTGAATCAAAATGCACAACTAATGCCAACAACAAATCTAACTCTCATTGTTATCCAACGTACAATTAGGATGTCCAGGCAATTGGTAAGATAGACAAATATTATCAGATTGCAAATTATCCTATTTCAAACATAGCTTCTCAACCAACTGATCATATGTAACATTTTGATCAATCTTAATTGCAAATGTGCAACTATTATACTTGCACAACAAAAAAATAGGCGCACTCGTACAACTTTCACTCATCTTTTAATCTAAACAAGAAAAAAAGATCGCATCAATAAAAACCAGAACAAATACTTCATAACAATACTAAGAACTTTATCAGTTTTCACAAATACTTCATAACAATAAAAACCAGAACAAAAACTTAATAACAATACAAATACTTCACAAATCACATTTTCAATTCATAAAATAAATAACCAAACCAAGAAATCATCCAGCAAATCACGTTTTCAATTCGTAAAAACAAAATTATTCAACATATTCTCATAAATAAATTCAATCAAAACTAAAGAAAATTCTAAAAAGACATAATATACAAAATTGAAACAATACATACCTATAAACCAGATCGAAGATCAAATATCTAGCAAATCAATTCTTCAATTTATAAATCGAAATCGCACATAACAAACTCCAACGGATTTTAACTCAAAAAACGAACCAAACTAAGAAATCCTTCAAGATTATTTCCTATTCGAATCAAAATCCAGAAATCAATTACGTATGATAGCGAACCAAAGCAATAAATCATTCAAGATCGTTCACGATTCGAATCTTGAGCTACTTCCATAACTGAGCTATTAACTGATTTCTTTTTTCTTTCTAGCAAATAACGTGAATGGAATTTCATATACAATTGTTTATGTTAAAGGGCAAACACGTCTTTTTATCTATAAATGGGACTTATTGGTTCAAAAAGTTTTTGATAGGACCCAAGTTACAACCAAACATGTTGATAGGACTTTTAGGTAATTATCTCTTAAATAATTAATGAATTCCCAATTTGTCACTGTATGTTTATTGTTTTTTTTAGTCCCGTTTGACTTGATGGCCGAGTTTAAATTAAATTTTAAACTTGTTGAAGAAAGAATCACGTAATACCAAATTGATCAATATAGCTCATTATCTAACCAAAATAATCATGTCTCCATTTGAAAGTTAGGCCAAGTTTGGGGTATGTAAAAAAAGTCAAAAAGTAAAAAAATTACTCAAAAAATTAAAAAGTTAGCACTATTCATCAAAAGTCAACAATTACGGCTACACAATTCCCAATCCTAATTTTCCTCTACAAACTAATTTTTACAATTTTTTATTACACATTTTTTCATGAAAAGTCAAAAAGTTAACCCAAACATCCATATTTTTTTCCTTAATTTTTTAGTCCAAAAAGACAAAAAGTGCACTTATTTCGAATACCCCAAACAATCCCTAGTTGGGACTTAAAAAAATATAAAAAGATAAAATAGATGTGTTTGGTATGTACTAAAAAAGTGCACTTTTTTTTACATACAGACATTTATTTGGATCACATCAATCAACATATCCTTTCTACTTTTCTATCCACTTTCTTTACTTTTCTACACATTTTTTTTTATAAAAAGTCAAAAAGTACACTTATTTAGAATATCTCAAACCACCCCTTAGTAGGTGTTTGGCATGCACTAAAAAAGTGCACTTTTTTTTTTGTATACATGTACTTATTTGAGTCACATCAATCAACATCTTCTCTCTACTTTTCTACCCACTTTCTTTACTTTTTTATACATTTTTTTATATAAAAAGTCAAAAAATATACTTAGGGGTGTTTTGGGAAGTGGGTTAAAAGCCACTTCCCAGCTTTTAACCTACTTCCCTCTCTCACAAAAAAAATCAAAAAGAGTCAAAAAACAGTTTTTAACTATCTTCCCAAAACACTCCTTATTTAGAACATTCCAAACCACTTCTAAATAAGTTAATAAGGCAAAATATCACATCTAAATTATAATCATTTAACTTTTTCTCTTATAAAAAAGTAAAAAATAAAAATAAAAAATTCTCCCTGAACAGAGCTAATTTAGCTAGGATAAATTAGCTAAAAAATAAAGAAATTAGGCTAAAAATGTTCTTCCCAAACGAACCCTATATTTATTTATATCACAACTTAAATATAAATAATGTTAATAGTTTAAATATTTAAATGTTTTCTTATAAGATCAAAGTTAAGAGATCAATTATTAATAATCTATTTTAAAGTTATTTTACATCTTTCACAATAAATTTAAATAATATATATAATATGTGCCTATAAATATGTTTTTATTATTATTATTATTTATGATTTGACTATAAATATTTTATATACATGATATTTGCAATTGGACCAAACTTCAAATGTTTTTTATAAAAGTTTTCTCACAAGAGTAATACTACACCTTTATCAACCCAGAAATTATCCAAAATTTTTATCTTGTACTTTTGATTTATTATATATATGAGTCATACACCACACAAATTTAATTTTCTCATATCACCCAAAAAATTCTTAACTCTGGTTTTCAGAGTTTTCCTTTCTCACAATTATAATTGAGCTTAAAAGTTGCATGGGTTTAATGGGCCGTTTGGGCCAATATGTAGAAGGAGCCGGCAGGCCCAGCCCAGCACTCAATTTTCTCCGTCAGATTGGATCTATCTTTATGGGTCCCAATCTTGACCGTTTAGATGTCACCTCCAAAATTTCCAAACGCATTTATTATTATATTGATCGTAATAATGCATTAAAAAATTAAATTATTAATTTCACAAAACAAAACAGAGAAAAGTCTTCATTCTTGATCAACTTGTGATGAATTAGGGTTTTCTCTGCAACTATCTATCGCAGAATTGTCAATTTCAACTCTTTGATTCGATTCATCAGTTAAAAACTAAGCTCTGGCAATTGAAACCAACTACAATGTCCTCCTCAGAGTCGATCAATGGCGGCGGAGGAGGAGAGGATCCAGAACTTGGCGATGCTCATGTGGTGGAACTGGTTGCATCATCAACACCCGATTCTAGTTCTGATTTGATTTCGGAGGAGCAAATTATTCCTCTTTTGGCTCCAACTGAGAAGCCCAAGATCAACATCTTCTCTGTCTCCTACCCCAGACGAAAAACCAATAGGGTACTCTGAAAAACCCTAATTTTGCTCTTCAATTAATTTAAATTCCTTGTTTGTTTCAATGCATTTAGCTGAATCTGTTTGTTTTGGTTTGTGTACACATGTGTGGATGTCTCTGTGGAAGAAAGTTTTTTAACTTTTTAATGTTTTGGATGTTTTAGTTGAGAATCTGTGTAAAGCTATTTGTTTCAACTGTTGAGCTCATTGGGTTGGAATATCTGAGTCTGTTTGTTGTGGGTTTGAAAAAAAATAAATAAATAGTGAATCATGGAAACTGAATAGCACAAGTTTTTAACCGTTGAATTCTGTTTTCAAAGCATTTTATTGTTAAATAGTAAAATCACAAAATAGGCACACGTTTTGGAGTGAAACGGAGCCCTCATTTCGTCTAAATGTGATGTACCCTTTTGTCTTCTTGATGTCTTTTTTAGTCAATTTCATGAATTCTGAGATAAAGTTGGAGAAAGTAATTTGGGTGCATTGTTGACCATTTGCAGGAGCAAGTGATAAGATCATCTGAAATAGAGACATCACCTTTTACGCAGTTCTTTATGTGGGCATGGAGTGGATCTAGGTACTCTGGTCTACTATGCATGGCCCTGTCATCTACTATCTACTGTATCATGGAAGTTCTTTCAGATATTTTTTCTGGTTAGTAAGCTAATCATTAATGAAGTTCCCTGCTATAAATAATTATTCTGGAAACATATCTTAGCATTAAGTAATTTATTCTGAAATATATATTATCTTTAGGATGTGAGAGGCTGTGGGATGATATTTCTCGACTTGCCCCTGTGACTAAATATAGTTGAAAAATATGCTGTGTGAGTTTCCCAGTATTTTAAATTTAGAGTAGAAACTGATTATAATTTTGTAGAAAGGACTAGAGAAAGAGAAATTGATAGGAGATTTTGAATATACTCTATTTTGTTTACACGCATTCCATGATATAAACTAAGAAATAATAAATTAATAAAATGAATGTAGCTAACATGGAGATGCTAAGATAGATGCAATGGTAAGAAAGATTGACCATTATCAATGGAAATGCTAGGGGAGGGGATGACCTAAATTAACATGCGATCTTTTAGTAAAAAGGGTATAATTTATTTTATTTAAATTAACTCAGCATATGGCCCTGACCTTGACAGAATGGGATAGTGAAATAAGTCCATGTAGTCGACCCCAATTGATTGAGCTCAAGCCATTGGTTTGGTTTAATTTGTGGACAAAGTTCTAATATCATCTTTGCACTCTTACCTATATACATTTGTTTCTTTCCATCTGTTTAGTTGGTAAACAATCTTTATCTCACCACCAAATAATATTTTATTTTGTTTGGAAATGGCAGCTCAATCAATACCTCTTTTTGAGATAACATCTACTAGATGTACAGTCATCTCGATTTTATCATTTATGTGGCTGAGGAGGAGTGGACAACCGATGTTTGGGACAACAAATGTCAGGAATCTTTTGGTTTTAAGAGCTCTCACAGGATACCTCTCATTGTTGAGTTTTGTTTATTGGTGAGTTCTAATACTAATGCCCACTGTAAAGTGTAACATGATATGATATTTCTACCTCAAATGCTCTTCCAGGAAAAGGATCTTTCTACCTCACCAAACATGATAGAAATAGGCCCCACACCAGTAGTCCACATATATAATAAGAAACAAAGACATTCTTATCTCCTATAATCCTGAATCCCTCTGAAATCTCTTGGACAAAGGAACAACCCCACACCACACATTATGCCAAAAGCAGACCTCACTGCCCATTCCCAACTACAAACCTCACATTGCTACGCAAATCTGACCAACATTTCTGAATTGCTTTCCATACTCCAGCCCATATGACCCTCTTACCTCCTTAGAATCCATCCCTTTCCTCTTAGCCAAAATTGAAATCTACTACCTTTCTCCCAGACCGCAGGTTTTGAAGCCTACCTTTACAACCACTTTCGCAACAAAGCCTTGTTGAATTTCATAAAATGGTGAGTGTCCTAACAATTTAAGGTTGTGACAAAATATATTCTGCAGTCATTTTTCTTATATTGCATATTCTTACAATGATCCTTTTCCCCACTTTCTCATTTTGGAAAGCATGTTTGGGGTTGTGGGGTAGGTGGTGTTGCGAGTTTGCAACATTTTGTTTCAATTTATCTTCATTTTGCATTTCTTTCTCCTTTGATGGTTGGTGCTGCATACTCTCCTATGAATGTTCTTGAACAGGATTTAGTGTTAACCAGAAACCTAATTTTTCTTTCCAGCATTCAAAGGTTACCACTCTCTCAGGCTATCATATTGAGCTTTACAACTCCAATTATGGCATCCCTTGCAGCAAGAGTTATCTTGCGGGAAAAGTTGAGAATCGCAGAAATAGGAGGTATGATAATTATGCAATGCTAGTAGGTCTTTCTGTATATTAGAAATTTACAGCAGCTTTTTCTAGTCAGCAAAGTAGGTTATAGATATAAAGTGATGTGCTAATGGTCGGTATGAGCTTTCCAAACCATACATTGGGGTTGGGGATGGGGATGAAGTTGGAACACATACACGTGTGTGGCCCCAAATATTGTGGGAAATTACGAGATACTGAAGTTGAGGGGGAAACTTTGAAAACTGAAGGGAAATGATAGGCAATTTCCACTCCATATTCAACCTTCGTATGCTGCAGTGTCAGATGTTCTACACTGAAATTATTGAACTCAATATGGTTAGTTTGAATTCAACATTCTAACCAATTGTTGGGGAGTTCAATCCCTAACAAATCACCTTATTGAATTCAATAATTTCAGTTGAACTCAATACGGTGATTTGTTAGAGACATTTCTTTTTGCATCACAGCTGCCCGGCCCCTAAATTTACATGGCTTACTGACATTACTTTTTGCATCAGACAAGCCAGTCTGGTTATGGTGGTTATTTTTTACCTGATTGGATCAATATAGTTGGAAGTGGAGTAATTCTTTTCAGAACCCTTATCTGTTTTTCAGGTCTTGCTTGCAGTTTCTTTGGTGTGCTATTCATTTTCCGGCCAATGCTTACCACACAAGGTATAGAAGTGAGTTTATGAAACCCTATATACTAAATGTTTAAATCAAATGGGTTGGATGTTTAGGAAATTTTATGGCAAGGGATATCCATTCACAATTGTGTGGGGTTCTTTTTTATTTTATTTATTTATTTGTTTGTGGTCAGCAGTTCATGTATCTGACAATCTGCCATGCCTTTTATATTTGTCTTTCTTCATTTTTCTTTGATGCTGTGCTAATCTCTCTTGTTGCAAGAAAACTAATTTCAACAATGATTACATTTATTATGTGCATCATCTCTTAAATTCAGTAATCCAATCTTACGTGCTTTTAGTTTTGTAGACATGATAAGATTTGATCCTATGAAAAACAAAGATTTGATAGAATTTGAAAGTTATACCTAAATTGAAATTATCAAGTGGAGGGAGTTTTGATGTGTTCTCTCGGCTATTCACACGACCCAGTCTTCCTGCTCCCTTTTAGTTTGTATATATTGCATATACTGGGTAGGATGGGTTATGTGGTGCTTTAGTTGGTGTCACTAGACTTATTCTTGTGTGTCCAGTATTTGAATTGTACAGGTAAAATTAAGGGAGACTTACATGTAGGTCCTAATAGGTAGATTTATTGTCCAATGGGTCCTGTGATAATTAAATGGCTTTTTTTTATCAAACACTATTATAAAAAGTCACTGGCCCCGTTTGGTGTAGCTGTTAAAACAACTTATAAATTATAGCTTAACAGATTATAGATTATGACTTTAATAAAAAATTGTTAATCTGTTTGGTGTAGCTGTTGGATTATAGATTTAAGTTGCTGAATAGTGTTTGTTAGATAAGCCGTGAAATAGCTTTTTCAATTAATTTTTATTTTTTGTTTGTCTACATTTCTCATAAAAAATAATAATAATAATCTATAGTCCATTTGAGTCTTTTTCTATTTTTAAAAAAATAAAAAATAAAAAAATTTAAGAGTATAACCATAAATTAACATGTCCACAGCAGAAGCTGACAATCAGAAGTAAGGGGTGAGCAGCTTCTCAGAATCAGTTTTTTTGAGTTTAAATAAGCTGTTAGAATCAGAAGCTGTTTGAAATAAGTTTAACCAAACAGTCCAAAATAACTTTTTTAAAGCTAAAAGCTATAAGTTGGTTCTGAAAAGCTGAAACAAACACCCCCACTAATTATTGATTTTCAACGATAGTTTGAAAAAATTGTCACAAAAATCGTCAATAATTTTAAGTTTTAGCAATAGTTTAAAAAAATCTTCACAAAAAAATTAACTAATTTTTAGTTTTCATCGATAGTTTGAAAAATTCGTCATAGAAAACGTCATTAATTGTAAGTTTTAGCGACAATTATAAAAATCGTGACAAAGAAAAAGTCACTAATTATCAATTTTTAACGACATGCAAAAAGGTGTCACAATTTTTTTTTTTAGTGACGCTTTTACTAGGACTAACTTTCAATAGGACTTAATGTGAATTAAGTTCAACTATTAGGACCTCTTGTTAATTTACCCTAAAACTAATTCATTTGATTTGGTATAAACCTCTTGTAATTGCAAATTTGAAATAGATATCCCCATCTTCTCTCTCGCATTCGTAGACTTTTACTAATTTGTTAATTTGGCTCCATGATTTTACTTTCTCTACATGCTGATTCGTTTTTATTGGAATGTTACTTTCAATTAGTAGTGGTAATATGAATTTTGGCGTCAACTTTACGAAGTCGGATGCATTTTCATTATGTTGACAAAAACTCTCTCACACACACATCCCTTAGTAATCTTGTGTACTCATCTACGTATACTGATATCAAATCTTTATGTGCAAAACTCAAGTATCAAGAAAAACAGCTCAAACACCTATACATGTTTAAGTTTTTGTAGAAACTTACAAATATTGGTGATAGGTAGTTTAATGCATACATTTATAGATTAATGCATAGTCATCAGTGTCACATAATTTACTAAGCAGTTTAATGTTAAGTCCTACTTATCACTAAAATGTATTCCAAGTGGTATGCAATATGAACCTTAATACAGAACCTGATATTATTACAGGAAATACAGAACATGATAGGTGTTAAGACATGAGAGAACACGATTGACAACTAGAAAGCCTTTTCATGTGCTTCAATGAAAATAGCAGTCCATTTTTATTTATTTACTCCCTCCGTCCCAAAATAATGGTCCCTTTTGGGGAATCCAACTTTTTTTGGTAGTACAATTATTGCATTTGAAAAAAGTTGATTTTCCAAAATTATCCTTTTGATAGTACATTTTTTGGGAATATCAATGCATAATTGTACTTTTTATGTTGTTTATTAATTTAAAAGAAGGGTAAAATAGGAAATTTATATTATTTCTGTACTTGATTTTTGAAGAGGGACTAATATTTTGGGACAATGAAAAATGGAATAAGGGACTAATATTTTGGGACGGAGGGAGTATTATTTTTTGCATGATCTGTTTCTGAAATTCTGCATCCCTTGTGATTGAGACTTCCTGCAGGATGGCTAGCTAAAGCTGCAGAAACAAGTGATTCATATGTTCATGGAAGCTATCATATTTATGCTGTATTGGTTGGTTTATTTTCATCAATAACTGGTGGAATCAGCTACTGCCTTACAAGGGCTGGAGCAAAGGCATCTGATCAACCAGTGTAAGACCATCATTATTAGCATTCTTATTTGATCTTCATTATCAAAAAAGTCAGTTCAAGCTTCTAGCAATCATCAGAACAGTATGTATTGCTACAATTTCTGACCAGCAATTGTAGTATATATTATTTCCTAGTGTCCTGTTACTAAAGTTGAAATGGATAGAGAGCCATACAATATGAGTAGACATTTTTTTTTTGATCGGCAATATTAGTAGACATCCTTGTGGTAGTATTTTCGTCTTTCATTCTTTCTGCTGTATTGTTAAAACTACTGCAATGGGAATGTCAGATGATCTAGTTGGGATTGTTCTAGTATGTTGTTTACAAGGTAATGAAGACTGCAAAAATGTTGAATAGTTGTTAGGACACAATTTATGTAATTTTCGATATATAATTTTTTTAACTATGTAATTTTCAATGCTACTGTGAAATGATGAAGTTATGTATTTTAATGTCTGGTAAATCTTAATTAAATTGTTGCAGTCATGTTTACCTTAGCACACTTCCTGTCCTCTTTCAGGGTCACAGTTTTTTCATTTGGAGTGCTTGCTAGCCCTGCTTCAATAATATGTACATTTGCTTTTGAGGTAAGTTCATGCTATGGCCAATCTAATTTTATTAAACACAAGGACATGTTTAGATATCCACTGACTCTAGGTAGTTTACATCACTGATTGCCTAATAATTGAGTGTTTTGTTATGTTGAATTCAATGGAGACGTTTCTTAAGGTATGAAATCAAATCATTCTCTTAGTGGCCTCAAACCCTGCTTTGCCTTGCGTTTCACATAGTCTATTGTTTCAACATTTTATTCCCACCTGTGCATGTCAAATATTTATTGCATTACATCTTACCCAGTATTGACATCTCGGGCTTTATACAGAGGTCGCGCACAATCAGACCTCAAAAAACTAATATGGAATTTCAAATCTATGATCACTCTAAGGTCATGTAATTTAATTGCACATGGAAATTGATATAAAAGTCAATAGATATAAATATAAATTGACAAGTGTTTGTTGACCACAAGACCCTTATCAAAACTGTATGTTTCATAGGGAAAGAAATTTTCCTGATTTTCTACAATACCCTTTCTTTTACAAAATGAGGTCATGCTGTGTGTTCAATCTACCATATTGCTTAGGAAACTACTATATGAAAGTCAAGATTATCTATGCCATTTTGATGGTTTTCTGTTACTTGCTAATTGCTATTCAAGACTCGTGGTGTCTGAAATGATTTTGCTTTTCTCATGCAGGATTTTGTGCTGCCTAGTCTTTATTCTTTCTTTCTCATGATTGCTCTTGGCATACTGGCCTTCTTTGCAGAGGTGTTATGCTGATCTTATCTTTTTAGTTACTCTGCATGCTTTCAACATCCAAACATAATGCAGTAAACCTTTCATTAGAGCATGCGTTGCTTCTGATTTTTATGAGTGTATATGGATTCTTGAACACTTACTGTATTGCAGGTATTTTTAGCACGTGGGCTTCAGCTTGAGAAAACCAGCAAAGTTTCAAATATTCAGTACATCGAGGTATGGTTATTTTGTGCTGCTTCATTTATTTACTGTGGCATCTTGTAATTTTCATGAATAATTGCTTTACTTTGTAGCAGAGAGAAAACAATTACAAATTTATGCTTTACTTCTCTCCAGTGATTGCTACCACTGAACCTAAGGCTCACCTAATTTCCAGTCTTGAAATTGGGAAGAGTAGACAAAGAAATGCATATAGTTGTACATCACTATGTGAATTTTTTTTATAGGGTTAATTGCACCAAGACTCCCTTAACTATTAGCGAATATTATCTTACCTCTCTCATCTATGAACTTGTACATATTGACCTCCTCAATTATAAAAACCATACAAATGCCCTCTTCTGAATGTGGTATGGAGAGGGTGAAAATGATACATTTTTATAGTGGAAAGAGTCAAAATGTATAGGTTCATAGATGAGGTCAATTGATATTCGCTAATACTTGAGAGGATCTTGGTGTAATTAACCCCTTTCTATATTTGTGAAAAATATATTGTAAGATTGAAACAACAGAATTTTCACTAGATTTCCCTCTCTTACATTTAGTTTTATGGTAGTCATAAAATCAGATTCTGAGGACTGATATATCTCCTGTAAACCATATTTGATCTCTGCTTTTTGTCTGTCAGGCTGCCTTAACACAACTATGGGGCATGGGTTCATCAAGAATATTTCCATCCTTCGGCAGACTTGTTGGGTGTTTACTTATCTTAATTTCAGCATGTTGCACCATGTACATTGGTCCTGACAAAGATTTTGAATGATTATATATCTGGGCTTTGTGTTCTAACAAATAGGCCTACCCATTCTTTGTTATATTCAACTTGTTTTATCTTCACAATCTCCAAAATTGTTTTATCTTTGCAATTTCCAAAATTGTATCGATTCGTTTACGCTTCTTTCATTTCGTTGCAAGATGACATCAAATCCAACCCAGCTTCAGAGACACAATTTTCAAACCGTTATCTGTTGGCTTCCGTAATTTTGCAGTTATAAATGCAGGAAAATATTGATTTGTATACTGTCTTCCTGCACATGAAAATCAACATGTATTTTTGAGGCAAGAAAGAAAACCAGCATTGTTATGTGACGAATTTACAAACAATTGATCTCTATTGAACTGTAGTTGATGTATATTGAGCATTCCCATTCTGAATGTATAAATTTGGTGTCATTTCTTGTATCGCCCTTTTGCCCTATTTTTTTGGGGTTGAATTCCCATGTCACTGTTGAGTGCTGCTTGTTTTGAGACATTTCTTTTGTGCAATTTCTTTGTACACTTCCTTGAAATGGAGGGTAGGAAAACTGGGAGATTTGATGAGTAAAGTGAGGTCCTCGCTTGTATTCTAATTGCCTCAATTAAGGGCACTCTTGAACAGGAAGGTGTTATGTAGTGAATTAAGAGATCTCATGTCCTTGAATTGTTATGTAGTGAATTAAGAGGCCTTTTGATCATATTTATGTATCACATTGTATTTAATGTGTAATGTGTCACAATTATTTAATGCGTACTTTTTTTTTATAAATGAAATTTTATTACCACAACATTAAGAAGATGCCAAAAAATTACAAAGTCAAACCCCACAAAATGGGATCTAACCAACTATATTGTCAACAAAGTCTAAGAGATCAAATAAATTTGGATTAAACCTTCCTGACACCCAGTTATACAAAACACGCAAAAACCAAGCTTCTAAACATGCAATGGATTGAGCACTACCTTGAAAAATTCGACGATTCTGTTCCAGCCAAACCGACCATATCAAACACAAAGGCGCTATTGCCCAACCCTTTCGTCGCCACGTCCCAACTCGACCAACCCCCCAACAACGCAACACATCCATGACTTGCCTCGGTTGAACCCAGACCACACCAAACGAGAAAACAAGTACCCACAAACGAGAAGCAAACGGGTAATGGAGCAGCAAATGGTCTAGTGTTTCGCAGCCGCACAACACATGCAACACCAATTAACCAAAATATGATGACGACAAATCAGATTATCAATAGTCAAGATCCTACCAAAAGCTGTTGTCTACGCAAAGAAAGTCACCTTTGATGGAACACTAGAAACCGACACACCACACCAAGGGAAAATTCCTCCTTCATCACCACCATACAAGGACAAGCAAAAAGACGAGACTGAAAAAACGCCTTTAGCCCCTGGAACTCACTAAACCAAATCGTTCTCCCTCTCCCGCCCAACCTTGACCTTATACAAAAAGGTCAACAACTCCACCAACTGCCCTACCTCCCAATCCTGAGTTTGGCGGTGAAGTACAATATTCCAATCCAACCCGTCACAACCTCCAGCTAAATAAGAAACCATTAACACATCAGGGTCTACCACCAACCTGAAGATCAAAAGAGAACGCTCGCTCTTGTAGGGTAACCTCCCTACACCAGTTATCCTTTCAAAACCGCACCCGAGCTCCATCGCCTACTCGAAACTAGACTCGCTTCCAAAATTGATCCCTACCCAACCAAATCCCCTTCCACAACCCACACCCATGAGAACCCCCCACCACCCTAGTACACCACTCTCTCATTCCCAACCCATACTTGGACGTTACCACCCTTAGCCACAGGCAGTGGTGGAGTCAGAAAATTAAATTAGAGGTGGCACTTATTAATTACAATATCGAATATTTTCACAAAAATATTTCACGCAAGTTTTTAAGATTAATTTCAAGAAACATCAAAAAAATAACGTTATTTATAACTAGTGTATCATGGACAATATAATGATAATATCACGTCATCATTAGTATGTGATATCACCAACTAATAGTAAATAAACACATAGAGAGTGAATCTTACATGGAAAATGTAACTAACAATCCAATAAATTTCATATCTTTAAAGTGATAATACTTATATTTGCATGTCAATAATAATGATATCACCGTTACATTTAAAAATTTTCATAAAATTTTCATAGATAATATGGTTTATAATAGTCTCTTTATTTTCAATCAAAACGACCATTATTATTCTCATAATTTTTAAAATGTCATTGGCATTTCACTCTAATAATATTTTTGTAATTTTTTTTATTTAAAATATTTTCTTTATATTTGCAAAAAGGGGGGCACGTGACCCCCCTATTCCTTACACCCTCCGCCACTGGCCACAGGTGATCATGTTCCTTAGAAAACCTCCATAGTCACTTCCCCAACAAAACCAAATTAAACTTACAACCTACGCACCCCCAACCCCCCATGCTAACAAATCTACTCCCAACTAACGAGATGATACCGAAACTCTCCACCATCAAGCTTGTTTATAAGTATTTAATGTGTACTTATAAGCATGAAAATTTTTTGGTGGTTTGGTGTATGCATGCCCAGATAATGTTCTAGGAGGGCTGTAATTCGTGGAGGGGTTAATTCATGGAGAAAGCAAGATTTGCGATTTTATGTTAAGATATGGAAATAGAATAAAAATGGAGCTTATTGTTTAGAGTATTTAGCAAGCACTTGAAATTGTGTTGCAATGTCCTTGTCCACTTATTTAATTTGGCTTGTCATGCATAAAAGACTACTCACTAACCATATGAGGTTAATTAGATATCTCTCTGAATCAGATACCTGCCCCATATGTCACTCCACTAGAGAAGATATGCTTCACCTTCTCATCAACTGCCCCAAAGCTAAGGTCTTATGGGTGAACTTGAAGAACCTTCCTTGGTGGCAACAAAGCCAACATACTTCTCTGCAAGATTGGACCAGGTTTAATATCAGAAGTGTACGGGGAGCAAATATTCCAGCGAGCCCGTACTCCTTTCTTCCTAGCTCCCTGTCTGTCCGATCATCCTGCGAACATAACGGCGATAAGCTACCCGGCGGTGTGTGGCCAGAAAATCCCTCCGACGGTCAAGTTAGCACACACAGGGATAGAAAGAGAGAGAGAGGAGAGAGTTCAGTGTTTAGTGTATCTCACCAAATGATCATCTCCTCCAATATGGGGGGCGCAGACACGCTTATATACCTTCTGCGCCCCAAATTTACTCCTACTAGTCTCTCGACACGTGGTGCTGCCATCCCATCCGTCAGCACAAATCCAGCAATCACTACCTAACCAAACTGTCAAGATATCTTGGTGGAGCCCGGCAGACCAGCGGAACCACCTCGGCTACTCATGACCGTGCTGCACGGCGTATCTGAGTGATCCACTCATCAAGCCCAGAACGACCAAGCTCGGTTGTATTCCGGCAAGCCGAGCTCGAGGAAGATCGCACCGGTTAACTGTATGCCTTCGTGGAATCCGGACTGGCAAGCAGTCATTTCGGCCGAGCAACTTCAAACAGCCCGGTTTCTACACAAATGAACCCAAGTAGCTCGGCTCAGCATGGCCCTGTGCCTTAAACAAGCAAAACCTCTCTCGACAAGCCCAGGATACCGCGGCCCAAACCTGTTCAGCACTCAACTTGTCCGGTCTTTGCCATGGCCCATTCAGCTCATAAAATCTCCCTCTCAATTGCCCCTTAATTCCGTCCGCACAAGCGTGACTGGGATTACATGATCCAATCGGGGTAGACTCTTCCTCGATCCTTAGTTTGCAAGTAGTTAACCAGGCTAGTCGACATGCCTGGTTTCCAGACTTGCCCGGTCGACGCCTCATATCGCCTCTCTGTCTTTTCAACTCTGACGCCGCTGTTAATCAGGACACGCGTTGCTCGTTGATTGGCCTCGAGCAGCCAACCCTCACGTCCCTTCACATTAAAAAATTTTAGCGATCTCTCTCGCTCCCATATATACGTCATTTCTCCATTCATTTCATTCTTACTGACTCTCCTTCAGTTCTTGACATTCCAGAGCTCCAGAACCTTCGAAGAGCTTTCCTTTTGCGCCTTGCTGCGTTCGTGCTTGAAGACTCACCTCCTGCCCCATTCTGGTAAGTTCTTCGACCCTTTTATTGCTATTTCATTTGATATTCTTCGTTTTAGGGCACAAAAACCATAGATTTTAAGGTATAGCTCCCAAAAATTCTCCCCTGCCCTTTGTTCTCCTTGTTGTTCTTTAGTTTCACTGATGAACACCTGAAGATCTGGGGCGGACCGGGCTCCAGATCTTCTTTTGATCCCTTAAAACGTTAAGACCGAGCAAATTACAAGTTTACCAAACCCTTAGTAGAAACCGAGGGAGGCAGAGGACTTGACCTCTCAACAGGGCTGACATCTGGTCCGCTTGAGCGACCGAGCTCCTTGGTTTGCCTTCGCGACTGAGGTGGTCTGGCACCCTTCCTGACCGAGCTAAAGTCAAGCTCGTTTTGCGCGACCACGCTTTCACTTATAATTACCCTCATTTTCCTGCAGAGTCCAAGGGGACCACTGACCAATACCGAGGCTCTCAAAGACCGAGCAGCCATCAAACACCTACCTGCGCCAAACCACCTCAGCCGAGCTAAACCAGCTGGCTACACATAGGGCGCTACCTCTTCCTTGTCGACACTCCGGCTGCCCTGGCCGTGTTCCGAGAAGAGTACGGTATCCCGGCCAACGTTGACCTAGAGCTCAGCGACATTGACACAACTCCATGGGGCGGATTAGACCAATGACCTTTCACCGTGCTATCCATCATAGAAGGAGGCCTCCGCTTCCCAGTTAACCCACTCATGACCGAATTCTTGTGACGCACCAGGCTAGCACCTACCCAAGTCTCAACCAACACTTACAGAATAATCAACGGGGTCCACGAGCTAAACAACCGACTAGGGACCAACTTAGGGATAGTCGAGATGCTCTGCCAATACACCTTAGGGCACACAGGCGACAGCCTCGCCTACTATTTAAAAATTAGACCGAGCAAAGAGAAGATAGTGACCGGCACCCCGGACAAGGATTTACACGACGATGACTTTTTCTGGGTGTCCGACAACTACAAAACAGCCGACGTACCGAGCTGGTTCATTAACAAGAACTTCGGTTCAACATGTAAGCTGTGCTACCTGCTTGGTCAATTTATCTTTCTTCACTATTCTGTACTTGACATTTTTTTTCTGCTTTCTTTTGCAGCAATCGAAGCCCTGCAAGCCCACTATCATTATCCCAACGAGGCAGCCATCAGAACCGTGCTCCGCTACCACAACCGGGATCGCCACGAGCTCCTCGGCTACACACTGACATATAGATATTCAGCTCCACGCCGGAGTAAAGTCACAGACTTTCTTCGCGGTCCATCTCC